TGTGACTTCTGTGATTGATGTGTTCAGTTCGGAGCTCTTTGCGAGGAGAGTAACACAGCTCTGGGTTTTGTCGTGAATAGCTGAAACCTTTATTTGCATAATTCATGAAATTGCATTACATACAACTCAGTGTGAAAGAGATCCCGTTAGAGAACTTGCGCAGCATTTAATAATCTTGTGAATATTTACCGATTGGCATTTGGGTCCACTGGCTCTCCTCGTTGGTTTTAATGAGCCGCGGGCTTTGCTTTGTCTCCTTCCCCCGTAAGGATTTGTTGACATGTCCTGGTAGCCATGCCTGTCTGGGGGAAGGGAACGAGTTTAGCAGTTTACCAAGAATGGATCAGTCATGTCTTTGCCCTCCAAGAGGTCGGAGGTCGCTTGACTCAGAATAGGGGGAGGGCAACCTTGAAGGGGGCAGATAGGGTTATTTTATTGAGAGGCCATAGGGAAAATAACCCTTTTGAGTCCTTCCAAGCAAAACGTTTTCGTATATTTAATGAGGCCTTTTTTGTTTGTTTTACTACCTTTCTAGCAAGGGACTTTCCTATGCTTCTGCTTATAAATAGGAATTAGTGAATTACACGCATTCATAAAGTTTTCAGTAAATTTGCAGAAAAAGGTGTGCTTGTTAGACGGCAGCAGGAAGTTTAATGCGTTATATATTTTATGAGTTGTTTTGGGATGCAAAGTGTTAAAAAAATACAGAGCATCAGGATTTGCTGTGATAAGCATACAGATTAGCTGTCCACAGCTGTGATTCATTACTTTCACCGTACAAATTAAAAGTGGCTGAGGGGAGGGTACTGCAAATGCAAACCACGCTTCTGTGCTGTAAAACTGAAAGGAATGAAAGAAGTGAACATAATCCATGGCCTGGTACAGCCTCAGAAATGTGTAAGGACAACACCTTACATGCTACAGTTCAGCAATCTTAAACTAGTTACGTATTCGCTCTTCAGCAGTAACTACAGATAGAAGTTGAGATTTAAGGTATTTTTAAAATATCTACATCAGCTTTAAAACTCTTATCTAAGACAAGTCGATTTATCAGCTGTGAAATATTTACACTGCAGATCAAGATCTCGGAGATAATAGCCGCAGCCTTGTTGGCAGAGGAGGTTCACCCAGAGGAAGTCTCTCACCACGGTAAGCGTTATTTACATTGGAGAGTGCAGGCAAAGGAAATGTTTTAGGATTTGGAAGCTTCACTGTCTTTTTACTAGTAATACATAAGTGTTTTAGAAGCCTGTATATTTGTGCGTGTATGTACACACGTGTATATACATTTATTTTTAGATAGATACACCCGTCAAAAAAAAACAACCCAAAACTCTAATAATGTCCAGATAGCTAAAAAATGTGCTGAAACTTACTTTTATATCAACTGAAATTAGGTTTGCAAATGAAGGACTTTACATAAGAAATGGAGACTTGCTTTAGAGGGATTTATCTATGATGTACTCCACATGCACTACTTATCTCATATTTGTTACCATAATCATATTTGTAATCATATTTGCAAAAATTCCCAAATCCCATAGATTTAAGACTACAGTGATAATGGGAATGAGATGGTCTGAGAAGTTAGAGTTAAAAATTTCAATCAAATGTTTTCTTCCTTTTCCATCACCACTTCAAACTATGCAACAATTCTCTGTGGGGGAAAGAAAAGTATCTTTTTTGTTCTGCTGCATTTCACCTCTGCTACAGAAGTTTGGCATGAGAATTGTGCTGGAATTACATCATGTTATTTTGTTTTAAAACACTTGCTGTTAAAATTTCAATATTGTGTTTTAAGCACTTCAGTAATATTTTCCATGTATTTTAAGTGAGCCTTTGTTTTTAAAGGGCTTTATTTTCATTCCATATGAATTAGATTTTACAGTGTTATTACTATTCGGTTTTGTTTGTTTTGTTTTGTTTTTTTTTTTTACTTGGGGGCTCACCTTGGGGGTTTTATCTTGAAAAGAGTTTCAGGGTACCTAAAAGAATGGTAGTTACACAGATACAGCATTGTAACAATGAATTTGATTGTTACAGCATGTGTTTATTACAGTAATTTATAATAAATACCTCCAAATTAGATAATTTAATGTACATGCCTGGTGTTGTTGATCTTGTATTATATTCCTTCATTAATCAAAAAAGACTTCTTGTCGAATGGGGTGAGAATATCCATTATAACACTTCGGTGCTATTAACTAGTCATGAACTGGCTTTTCAGCTTTCCAATACGTGTTGCCTCTAAAACAATAAAAAGAGAATTTACAAATTAGTTTAGATTGTGTTCTTGGTATAAATACGTATATTTACATTAGTGTATAAATCTTTATATACATAAGAAATGGGTCTGTATATATACAGCCAAGTAAGTTAAGAGACTTTTGCAGAGGAAAATGCTCAACAATTAGGAAATTCCAGAACTTCTGATTTTGATTAAGTAGTCCTTCTCTGCATACATGTTGTGGTAATTATGAGTTTTAATGCCTTCTTAATTAATATGCAAAGGCCTGGTCTTTGTACAATTTGCGGTGTGCTGTAAGTCGTGTTCAAGCTGTATTTAGGTAGAATATTTGAGAAACTAAACTCCTTAAGTATGATGCTTGTATGGAGTACATTCCAATACTTAACAACATGGTCAAATTTCAGCTGGTTATGATGATACAAAGGCCACCTCAGTCCACAATTGCAGAGCTCCTTCAGCATATGGAAGCTGTAGTACTTCGCAAAGAGCAGATAGCTTTTGCTTGGCAGTAGAGTTGTTCAAGAGCAAGCCAGAAAAGAGGGAGGGAGAGGGGGGAGGACTGGTAGAGGAGAAATTACTGCTGTAGTTCCAAAATTGAAAGATAGAAAAACTTAGTCTGAAATACCTAGCATGGAAAAAATTTAGATAACTTACCCATACAGTTAAGTTCAGTAGTCGGCAAATTTCACCCCTGGTTTGTGTAATAAGAAAAATCACACATATGTCAGTGTTTCTAACATGTGTAGCAAATTTGCCACCTTCCACAATTAAATAATTTTATATATATATATAGCATACGTATAAAAATGATTATTTAAAATATCATTTATAGTCATTTAAAAGGTAACGTCAAAAATCTGCTATCTGAAAACTTTGCAACTCTGAATGTTACCTGCTTTATCTATTAACATGATTTTCCTGCAAGTTCTGACTCTCTTCCCTTTGAAGCTTATGAGATACATAAATAACACACTTTTCTGAAAGAACCATGGCATTTTGAAATAGTTGCTTAAAATAAAAACACTTGCAGAAACAATTGTTTGCTGTTGATGACGCAGCTTTTTGGAGAAGACATGTGTGACTCATGAGCTGTATGGTCATTTCAGATCCATATTATTATATCGTTGTTCCTCTATATAACCACAGCGTTTGATGTTTAAGCTGTCATATTTGAAAATTTTAATATATATGAGAAATATAAATGTACTTGGTATATGTGAGCTGTTCCTGTTTTGCAAAGGAATTGCTGCTTTTCCCAAGGTGGCACTTGAACTTTTTTTACCCCATACTTAACCTTGGGTTTTCAAATGTATTATGTAATACCTGCATCAAAATATATACGTATGCCTGTATCTAAATGCCTCTATGCCTCTACCTAATTTCAAATTAATACTATAAGAGTATGAATAACTGTACCCCAGAATTGAACAAAAAACAGGTTTGAAAGTAAACAGGATATAAAATATGAAGCAAGGAATTCCCCTCTCAGTGACAGCATCAGACCCGTGCATACAGCACATTTATAATCTTATTGGAAACTATGGTCAAATACTATTTGGAATAAGGATTTAACCTGATATGCAAGATCATGTCTAATGGATGAGTTCAGCTGGAAGAAGGATGGACTAACTAATGTTGTGATACATGAAAATCTAGATTTGATTTTTTTTTTTTTCCTCCTTCTGTAAAGACTTCCAGTGGGGGATTGCAGAGGCCTATAGAGTCATGTGTTGCTTTGTTTCTATCTTTCTGAAATTGATAGGAAACAGTCCTAAGCCCAAGAAGAATTTTGTTGGTGATTTATAATGCAAATGGTGCAATCTGTTAGAGTAGCTTATGCGCCCTTCAGAAGTGTGCATACAGAGCAAGAAGTTGCTGGGGGGGTTGCCTGGTGGTTCTTTGTATTTGTTTTCTGGTTTTGGTTTTGTTTGATTGTGTTTTATTTTTCTTTTGTTGTTTTTTTTTGGGTTGGTTTGTTTTTTTTTTTTTTTTTGTTTAGTGTGGTGTTTGTGTGGAGCGTAGTACATCTGTTCAGAATGTTTCTGCATAAACCTTCCTTCTTACCACTTCAGCACATTGTGTAAACAACTAATTTTTAAGGGTGTTTCTGCCATGTCTGTGCTGAACTGTTAAATGCTGTTGAGTTGTCATCTCTTGTCAAAAAACACTACTTTGGTTACCCATTCATCAGGGCTTTTTGTTTTAACAAGTGTTTTTCTTCTTTCTTCCTGTATGCAAAAGAGGAATTATTTATAAATACTTAACAGAGCTCTTAGGTCACCTATTTAAAACCTTTTCCCTAAAAATCGCTTTGCTCTGGTGCCTGCAAAATGCTTGACAGTCATTGGGTAGCTAATGTGCTGTGACCACTGCTTATTACGCTAATCATAATTAACACACTGATTTCCTGAACTCTATGTGTTGTTCTGTACTGGGACTATGATGGTCTTGTTGGTAAGTTTGCTCTACATGTAGAACAGTATGTCTGTGATCCTGTGATGGCACCAATAGTTAGTGCTCACAGTAATAACTAATATATAAGAATCTGAATCTGAGCTCACTGCAGTTGGTTGAAATACAAAACAAACTAACCGACCAAAACCCATCAACCAGCTGTTAGTGGGCTTTGGTGTTGGTCCTGTGTGAGAAATGGGACCGTGCACACATGAGGCCAGAATCCCAAGTCAGACATACACAGAGCATCTGGTTTTGCTCACAGGTGAAGCTCTGCCCCCTTTAATGCAAAAGTAGCCTTCTCATAGGTCCTGAGGGGGAACAAGTTAGGCTGTGGAATTATATGTGGCCTTCCTATGTGGAAGTACCATTACTGTGCTGATTTTAATAAAATGTTTTTATTTTCCCAGTTTTCTCTGGGAAAAGTTTGAAGGTTTTTTTAAGACAGGTGTTTTATGTATCCATATATAATGTTATCCTGCTGTAGAAGTATGTATTGTGTAATTTAATACAATGCTGTTTGTCTGTTAGGTGTTACATTAGTCTGTATGCAAGAAGAGGTTATGTGCTTTCTCAGTATAAATTCTCTTGCTGTGCAATATTACATCTTTCTTTTATTAGTGCCTTGGCAGTGAGAACCAGGAATTCTTAGTGATTTTGAGGAATTAACTTACTTAGTCTTGGAATTTTAAGATGTGTAGGTACTAAGGGTTGATATAAGGTAAGAAACTTCAACAGCCTTTTACTAATGCATTTCCTTCCACCCTTTTCTTTAAACAATAAATGGCAATATTTTCAACAGATCCCCTGTAAGCAGCTTGCAGATTCGCTATGATCAATCAGGGAACAGTTGTGGGGAAAATTTGCCCCCAGTAGCAGCCAGCATAGAACAGCTTCTGGAGAGGCAATGGAGTGAAGGACAACAGTTTTTATTAGAGCAAGGCACCCCTAGTGACAGTAAGTACTCACATTCCGTTTATTACTGCTTTTGTTAACCGTTATTCAGAGCAACCATTCCAGTGCTTGTCCAAGAACTTAAAAAACCCTTATTTTCTGCTGTGAATAGAAATGTAACTGTAGTGTATAATGTAACTGTTGTGTATAATTGTAACGGAGTTCTTAGTGCAGCACATGGCTTCAATAGATTACAAAATAATTCTTTATAATTATCTACATTTTTATGGATGGGGAAATTGTGTCATGCAAGAGGAAGTGACTTGCAGATCCAGCTGGTTGGTTGCAGAGTTTGGAAATGAATTCTGGAGTCTCAGATCCACTACTGTAAATAGCATGGCACAGTTCCCCAATTTGCTTTATATTGTGTGATATAAACTGGCATAATAATTTATTACTGTTATATTGTTCACTTCTTAAATCTAAACTGCCTACTTCTGTTGCTGTTTTAAAAAGTATTTACAAATGTTAGGCAGGTGTCTTGCTAGGCTTTCATATCTTTATTGTGTTCAAATTCTCAAAGCAAGCAAATCATTATTTTCTCAAGTTATGCTTAATAGAGTGGCATAGTCCAATAATGAATATATTAAAAGAATAAGTGATGAGTATCTCCATATTTATCTGGATCTCTATATTCAACAGTATGTCAGCATTAAAGACAATGATTGAATACATTTTTTAATTGTTATTTAATATCAGGTTAGAGTTTATGTTATTTTTTTATTGAACATATTCTTCTTCTCATTGGGAGTGTAAAGCGGTATCTAGTTGGTATTTTTATGAATGGTATCCTGACAAAAATGCTAATTGTGAGGAAATTCATGCAGGGATAATCCTTTAAACATGATAGCTGGAGGACAGGTTTAGCTAAGTCTTATTGCATCTCATTTGGGCTCACTGAGGGTTCCTTTGTATGTTCTTGAAGAGGAGGGATAAAAGCTAAATCCTTGGGAAATGACCAGATGTGCCTATACCAGTAGACTTACGTCTGTAGTAGGCCCAGAGGTCATGTTAAACAAATACAATTTAGAATTAAAAAAAAAAAAAAAAAGAAAAGCAAAGCAGGCTCTCCCTGTGGCTTTACAGTCACACTCCAGCACCAGTTGGGAAATGCAAGTCCTGAAACCAGAGCGGAGTTTGGGAAAACTCTGCGTGGTAAAAATCAGGTTAGTACAGGAGATGATTCCCTTTTTATGCAAAAAGGGGTGGTAACTGCAGTGCTCACACAGTGCTCCCTGCTGGGTGATTTGTAGATCGCCACTCGCAGCACATGGGAGCTCCTGCTCCCACCAAGGTGTGTTGTGATCGCTTCACGTTGGATAGCATTTTATTCGTTGTTTCTGTGAGTTTATGATTCACTGTTCGAGGCGTTAACGCAGAAAACCTCCCCTTTCAAACTCGCTTGTTTTTGCTACATGTTGTTGGTTGTCTGTGTTGGTAGTTGAATGCATTTTTATCAAACTTTTTGTTTTGATACTGTTTAAAGTTTCTAATGCTGCAGCTGAAATAGATTTTTCCCAACTATGCAATTAACCTGTGCTACTGGAGTAATGCTATTTTCATATTCTGGTTTGGGGATCAGTTATCATGTACTGCTGTTTGCTTAAAATGACTATCAGCCCTAACGATGTGACTTTATCTGTATTTAAGCCAGGGTGTATAGCTATATTGCAAGATTACTATCACATGCTGTGTACTTTTTTCCTGCACTTTAAATTACACAAGATTGATCCTAAATCTTTCCACTTAAAGTCAAATTTCTGTAATGTAGCTCTCTGTAATAATTTTATTTATATTTTCCATATGACTTAATGCTAGTTTAAATTGTAATACAGAAATTAAAAAAATTGACATATTATGTTTTAAAAGTGGTTGTGAAAGATAACATGCATTTTTACCTTAGTTTTAGGAATGTTGAAATCATTACACCAACTTCAGGTTGAAAATAGGCGGTTAGAAGAACAGATAAAGAACCTGACAGCTAAGAAGGAGCGGCTTCAGCTACTCAATGCACAGCTTTCAGTGCCCTTTCCAACAATAACTTCAAATCCTAGCCCTTCTCATCAAGTACATGCCTTTCCAGTACAAGCAGGTAAGCAGAGGAGAGTATGGAAGTCTCAAAGTAACTGAAACGTGTATTTCTCTGAAATGCCTATTTCATCCATGTATGCCATTGATGGGAGGGATGCATGTACATGTAGGTTGAATATAGCCTGAAGTATTGTTAACGTATTTAAATGTTTAAAGTGTTTAAAATGCTTAAATGTTTAAAAGTCAATGGGAAGATTTATAAGAATCATTACTACTTCAGTGCAGGTTTTTTTTTTTTTTTTACTTCAATCTGGAGCACATCTGTTTGAATCTACTGATTCACCAATTATTTAGTTGATATTTTACTCTTCAGCCGTGATTTTAAGGTTGACTGTTTCTATGTTTACCTTTGATGTTATTTTGAAATAATTATTCTGAATCTTTTTACATGTTACAGAAATTTAACCTCTGTGTGTTTTTTTGAAATAATTACTTTAGCACCTAGCACTGATTCCTTGAACAGCAGTAAAAGCCCTCATCTGGGAAACAGTTTTTTGCCGGACAATTCTCTTCCTGTATTAAATCAGGTAATTTTTATTTGTTTCTTCCAAACTTAAACTTGTTACGAGTTAACTCCTCATAGTCCTTGCATTGTGCTGTTAGGTGAAATCTTATGCAGCTGAGGGGGTTTTGTTGTTTGTTTTTACACTAGGAGATAACCTCCAGCGGACAAAGCACCAGCAGTTCATCAGCTCTTTCCACTCCACCACCTGCTGGGCAGAGTCCAGCTCAGCAAGGCTCAGGAGTCACAGGAGTTCAACAGGTCAATGGTGTGACAGTGGGGGCACTAGCTAGTGGTATGCAGACTGTAACCTCCACCATTCCTGCAGTGCCTGGTGTGGGTGGAATAATTGGAGGACTGCCAGCCAGCCAGCTGGCAATCAATGGAATTGTAGGGGCTTTAAATGGGGTAATTCAGACCCCAGCAACAATATCACAGAACCCTTCTCCTCTCACTCATGCAACCGTGCCACCCAATGCAACGCATCCGCTGCCAACCACGTTAAATAACAGGTAAGAATTTACTGGTTTTGTTTTTCCCGATAGTGCCTGTTGTTCTTCAGCTTAGCTACATTTTTGAACTGTCCTATTCAAAACGTGCACTGTTTCTTCCTTAGCCTGTAGTTGTCAAACTAGGTTCTGCTTATGATCTGTGAATGAAACTAAGAGGACATTTAATGGAAGCATGAATAGTCAAGTTAAAGAAAAAATGTTTTCTGTTTAACTTTTGGGAATCCTAGTGCCTGTTTTTTAATCAAGTCACATTCCCAAACAAATGTAATTATGCAAATGTGCTTCAGCTCCTTGTTTTTTGTTTTTTGTTTTTTTTTTTTTTTAATTCAGAAAACAATATTCTTTCTTCTGCCAATTGTTCTTCCAGGATTAAAGGAGTGCTGGAAAAGCTACCATTTGTTCAGTAAGAAGGGGGGAGGGGGAGAGGGAGAACAGTATACGGTCACGTAATTGAAGATGTAACAGGCATAACTAACCAGAATGGTAGCAGAGTTGCGTGGTGTTTTCAGTTCTCTGCATCTTACTCCAAAGACAACAAAATTAGTTTTTCAAGTGGTGTTCCTAAGGATTTTTAAATGCATAAAAAGATCCATGTTTAAGTATTCGTAACAGCACTTCCCCAAAACCAGGTATCCTCACTAGCATAAACTGCTGCTGCTTGAGCTGCAAGGCAAATGGGTAACAAAAGGAGACAGCTGCTTTCCCCCAAGGGGAATGGACTGCTTGGTCTGGAAGTATTTTGGGATAGAGCAGAGTCTGGGATAACTCATTCTCCTTCCTCCCCTTCCCCCCACCCATCGTATTGTCCTTTGCTTAGGAAGGGGAACTATGGTTCTATGTAGAAAGGAATGCCTGCAAATAGGGAGTGGATTACTTGTCTTTAAGTAGAGTTTATTTTTGGAGATTATGGTGGATTACATGCCAAAAAGGCATATGTGATTGGAACGATGCAAAGGTTCCCTAGTTATGTAGCTTCTTTTCCCAGTTCCTTTCCTTCCTGCTTATTTGCCAGCTCCTGAATATGTGTGTACCATATCATTGTGTGGTATTGCTTCAACTGGCTCATAAAAACTGTATTGTGTTGTTTTGATATGCTGTTATATTTTCACTGAGGAGGTTCTATTTCTCATAGTTTGTATCATATAGGAACATAACATTTCATAGGTTAAAAGACATATCGTTAATGAAAAGTTGTTTTGTTTTTCTTAAGTATCAGAGGTCTGCTGAAAACACAAGAATTTACATTACTTTCCCCAAATTTTTGAGGAGGAGTGAGAAATACTAGGCAAAATCAATAATATTAACCAATTGTATAATGCTTTCCACTTTCAGGTAATGCCAAAATGTACTGGTCGTGCTGCAGTTTTCTCATTTGATTTTGTTTACAAGCAGGTTATTTATTTCTGATGACATTGCAGAAGTTCTTTTGTTGCTTTTACATTATTGCCATTTTTTATTAATATCTGTCTTAACTGCTTTTAGTTTTGAATGTGTAGCCTAATGGTAGACTACTCCGGTTCATGCAGAATACTGCAACTAGTATCCTGTTCATAAGCTCTCGTTCTGACTCTTAGCATAGTCTGGAATACTCCAATGATTCCCTATTTCCTGTTGTTACAAGCACATGATATACAACTCTGCCAGCATTTCCGTGTCTCTGTTTCTGTTCTTGCGTGATCTCTTTCTGCAGTGCTCTCTCAATAATACTTATTTAAAATCAATGTTTATATTAAATTTAAAAGTGCACTTTTCACATCATTCTTTGCTTTATTGAGCTCATGCAGATGATTTGCTGGGCCCCTTCCTCTTGAAGTGTTTCACAATTGCCCCCATTTTCTGTGAGTTTTCAGTATTTCTAATTTAGAAGGAACTAGTTCAGCGGATAAAAGTTGAGGCCGAGCAAGCACTAATGCTAATGAGTGCTCGTGTGATTATAGTAATGACATGTACGTTCCTCATTCCCGTTTCTTCCATTACTAACACTTCAGTGAAAAATGTGCAAAACTTTCCTGTTGCTGGGAACTAAGTTGTGAGGAGGCTCTGGGGTGACTGAATGAAGGCAGGGCCAGGGGAAGTATTTTCCACTGCTTGAGATTATTGGTTCTGAATCTCCACGGGACACTGCTTGCTCCTGCCACTCCTCTGAGTTCAGTGCTGTTTCAGTGGCAACTATTTTGACTGTCTCTTTAACGTTAAATTCCTCCCTAGGTAGCACTACTCTTTGAACTGCGTAAGTGGGAAGGTTCAATGGTAACAAGCACGTGCAGGCATGGAGGTTGGCTACCATGCTGCTGTGAGCTCTCTGAACCTGGTTAGATTGCTTGGTGGTAACCAGTTTGGAGGTGCTTGAAACTGGTATTCACCAGGTGATGGAAAGCCACGTGAGAGTTCAGCCCTATTTTCTAACTTTTGTGTCTTTTTCTGCAAGTAAAAGACTTCCCAGATGTTCCTGTAAGTTGTTACTTACAGTATCCTCCCAAGCTTCGGAACCTGTTTGGACAGTTTTGTGTGAAGAATAGCTAGATTATTCACCCGTACAGGAAGACTTCAGCATATTGTCCTTACTCATGTGAGTTCTTTAACTGTGGGACGTAGAGAGGTGAGAAAACACTGATTTGCACTCTGCCGTTTGAGAGTTTCAAATTTTATGTAAAAGAGCCTGCATTCATTTGGCAGAGAAAACTACTCGAACCTTTTCTGGGAAAAAGATGGCTTAATATAGACTGCTAGCAACAGGGAGATTAAGTAATTTGAAGAAAAAGATAGGATTGTTTCTTTACATTCTCACAACCAGAGAAGACTGTAGGATAGAGAGTTTCACACTGATCATATACCTTTTAATGAAAGCTAAAAAGGTTTACATTAACATTCCAAGCTGAGCTGGTTTAGAGAAGGCTCTGGTGAAATCCAGTGAACTGAACTGCTGCTTCTGCAAAGCTCGGGAGCTGCAGTGTTTTGTGGCTGAAGCTATTTTCTTTCAAGTGCTAATGCAGAGCAAAAGACGAAGGCAGAGCAAATAAAGAGAAGGGAGAACAGCAGCAGAAAAAAGAAGTGCAAAGGTAAAACATGATATAGGAAAAAAAGAAAGAATGGAATAAAAGAATGAAAAATCAATGGAGAACATTCATTCCAGTATGGAAGAACACAGAAACAGTGAGGTAAAAAGAGAAGGAAATAATGGTAATATTAGGCTGAAAGAGCTTATTTCTTGCCGTTGTTACAAATATTTTGGATACAATTTAGCTTAAAGCTATTTGAGGGAATTTCAATTAATCGGAAAGTGTCATTGTTTGAATGTCAAACATATGCACAGTTCTAGCTTGTTAGGCCTGAGTTTTCCTGTTGTAGCTCAGGAGAAAAATCTAGGAGTTTCCTTGGATAGGTGAAGTGTCATCTGTGCTTTCATCAGACAAACATTGCTGGTAGTTATCAGGGAATAAATAGAATGGTGTTACCCATTTTGTTTTCTGTCACGTTAAATCCCTGGTGTGTGCGTGCCTGAATATTATGTGCAGTTCTGACTGTGGAGTTTCAGAAAACGATATAATTCCAGGGGAAAAACAGTACAGCAAGAAAAATCAGAGGCAAAATGGCTTGTACAGGACAAGGTCAGTAGAATTGACTTCTTTGCTAGGGATAAAGACCATTGACAGGAGGTTTGAGAACCAGGAGAGTGGTAAAAATGATGCTAAAGTAGATGATGGGAAATCATAGATTCATTTAGGTTGGAAAAGATCATTGAGTCCAGCTGTTACCCTAACACTACCAAGTCCCTAAACCATGTCCGTGAGCACCACATCTACATGTCTTTAAAACAGCTCCCGGGATGGTGACTCCATCACTTCCCAGGACACCCTGTTCCAATGCTTGATAACCCTGT